TAGAAGCAGGTGCCGCGACTCGTCACTGCAGCGACCCCTCCTGTCACCCTCTGGAGTCCGTGTGCTGGTACTGTTTGCGGTCTGTACCCGGGTCACGCTCTGTGGCTCTGGTGACTAAAAGCACCTTTTCCTCTGGCAAAGGAAAAGTAGTTCAATTAGAAGCCTCCGGTCTCTGAGAGCCGCGCTTGCTACCTAGCCGCAGGTGGCCCCTTCCCAGGGTGTGCCCAGCGGTGTGTTCGCCACCTCTTCAAAGGTGGGTCCTACTGAGACCGTGCACGACTGTCGGCCGGAGCGGGCCTCGGTCCCTAAGCAGGAAGCTGCTGTGACAAACGTCTCTCCTGGGTTTGGTTCACCCAGAGCTCTTGCTGAGTGACGTCCAGGCGGGGTCTGGTCCCCAGAGTGGCGGACACCTCCTTGGTTTGACAGCAGGCGGGAAGCTTCCGTGGCGCGTGGAGGGCATAGGGCTGCCGGCGCGGTTAGCAGCGATCCCACCTCCACGCAGATCGCAGTGATGGCAGAGGTGGAAGAAGAAGTGAGAGCCCCCCTGAGGACTCGACGTCTTCCCTGGAAGGTCATGGTCCCTCTCACCCAACCACAAAAGGAAGCAGTTTCCTCCCCCCAGGGCCCTCTGCTCAGACAGAGCCCCCCGCAGTCACAGAAGTGACTCTCGGACATTCCGACTCCAACGTCCATCGCTTCCCAGGTAATGTGGCCATTCGGTGTTGGCTCGCTCTCTCCACAGAGAAGCAGGCGTCCACCTGTCATAGGGGTCTTCCCCTGCGCAGGCCCCGTGGGGCAGGTGCGTCCAGCACTGGCCGTCAGTCCAGGGCCCGGCGACATGGACTGGTGCAGACACGCTGCACACGGCCGGCACCACCCACGTCCCAGACCTGGCTGTCACCGTGGGGTCTCCTTGTCTTCCTCACCTTGGGGTGTGCCCAGCTGGGTCACAGGACACTGCGTCTTTCGGGTCACGGGAGCTGAATGGTAGCGAATCGTTTCTTCCACTGCTGTGCGCGGCTATTCAGTACGATCACACCTGACCCGTGACTGCGGGCGCTGCGACATGGCCGTGCCAGCGGGGTCCAGGGACACGTCCCCTTCCGTGCAGAAGCTCTGCCCACGCGCCCTGCTCTCTGGCGCACACGCCCCACTCTTCCTGAGGACTGCCGCCGTCCCTGCCTTCGCCCTGAGCCTGCTGTCTCACTGGGCACGGCTGGGTTAGTCCTACTTCGGGGACGGGCTGCATAACGCCTTCCGGTGTGCTCTCACCAGTCAGCGATCGGTCTGCCGTCAGCGAGGGGCCACGTCTCAGCAGTGGCTGAAGCACGGCTCGGCCCCGTGGGACACGGCTGCCCACGAGGCTGTCCGCCTCAGTACATGGTCCTCTCTACTTTTCCCTCTGTCTCTTCGTTTGCATTAGGAAACTAAAACTGAAGGAGGGGAACTGGAAAATGCCCTCTCTGACCAAGAGCCGAAAGCGGGTCCTCTCCTCCTAGGCCTGTTTTCCTGGGCTGCTCCATTCGGCCGGTCACTGGGCACTAGAGACCGTGATTCCAAACGTCCTTTGTGTAGCCGGGCGTCCCCTCCCTCCCTCCCACGTAAATGAAGAGCAGCAGTAGAGAAGCCCTCCTGGGAGAGCCCGCTGTGCAGGCAGACGACCCTCGTGGCACTCTGGCCAGTGTGGGCAGAAAGCCAGAGGGCTGCTCGTCTGCGCCCCCTGCAGGCAGCCCTTCCCTGGCCCCCAGGAGGGCAGTTGGGGAGACTGACCGCAGCGAGCTGGCAGGGCTCAGCCTGCACCGTCAGGCCTCCCTCCGGCCTGTTCTCCTCTCCCCGGGAATCCCAAGTATCCATCACTGTTCTTTGGAGAAGGTGAGCCAGAGCGTGGCCCCAGTTCTCTCGGCATAATAAAGCCAGGTGCGCAACTATATTTAAAGTTGAAATGGAGAGGCTAGTAGTTACCGTATCTTAGAAGGCCGGCCTAGCCTAACTGCTCGTACGGCGTGTTCTACAAGCTGGTTTCACACACGCTGGTTTCCTCTCCGTCCTCAGTGGGACTGGGACACCCCACGGCTCTCCGTGGTGAGGTGTCAGCAAGGGAGCCCACCCTCAGCCGAGGTGCCCACGGCACCATCCTTGGCTCCTTCCCTGCCTGTGTGCTTCTCGGTCTTCGCGTTCAGCGAAGAACTAAGACATCGGGCTGTGTCCTGACGTGTGGTGTCGCTGACGGTGCTGGGTTGGGACGGAGATGCGATTTTGGCTGTGATGACAGCGCTGTGACACTCACAGTACTGTCCCCAGACTTCTAACCATGTAGGCGGTCTCCCCCAATCACGTAGCAGGCCTGCGTGTCCCCTCTGCCGCCCCAGCAGGACACGCGTGTAGTTGCCCTCACCACGGGTGACGGTGGCCGTTCAGGAAGCCATTGTCCCCTGGCGTCTCCTGATGATGCCAGCACACGTCTGGAGAAGGCCGTTCCCCTCGCGGGTCCCAGACCACCTGTGTGCTTAGATTTAGCGGTTCCCAGGCGGTCTCAGTCTAGGCCTCGTGGCAAACGCTGGGGGAAGACACAGTCATGTTAACATTGGGGTTGAAAATAGACGTCGATTTTGGAAAATGTTACTGGGAACCCCTTGTAGCACCCAGGTGCACACCACATACACGCCAGCTGTCCGCATAAGTGCGCCCGCTTCTTCACAGACGCCCTTTCCTCTGAAGAAGCAGTGGCCGTTCTCTGTGGCTCTCTGTGGCTCCCGAGCGCCTGTGCCCCGAGCTGCAGGGCTGCCCGTTTCCCGAGGCCTCATGCACACGCAGGTGCCCGGCCCCACCCTCAGCCAAGGAGGCGCTGTCCGGACACCTAGCCACATCCGTGGACCTCCACCACCCCGCCTCTGCCATGGCGGTCCCTATGCACCCGGCCACCTAACTCTGGCTGAAGCCTGGCCCGAGGTCATCGCGGTGACCTTGGACAGGCTGAGCGTGTGGGGCTCTGTGGCCACCCCATGTCAGGAGAGCGGGTGGGAGCGAGTGGGGATGCCGTTCCTGACCTTCCTGATGGCTCTACAGGGCACGGAGACGCGTCCGCGGACCCCAGCAGGGGTGACCACACCACTCACGGAGCTGAAGCTGCCGGTAAGTTACAGTCGTGGTCCTGCCCGCCCTCTCCGAGTCTGCCGACGGCATGTGAGCACGGGCCGCTGTCCCCCAAACCCAAGGCTGCTGCAGTGCCTGCTGGCTGCCCCGCCAGTGTCCAGTCTGGCGGTGAGGAGCCATGTCCTGGTGCTGCTAGTTCCCGAGTGGTGCCCCCTGCTGGGGCAGGGCAGCAGCGCGTGGAGGGCCGCTGCTCTGGAGGGAAGCCTTCCGCCGAAAGGGTCAGGACGATTCAGGCAAGGTCCCTGACCGAGGCTTGAGAGCAGGGTGTGGGGGACAAGTGGCCCGGTGCGGTCTCATCACGCACAGCACACCAGCTCACAGACACCGTGTTCTAAGCAGGAACGGTGCGCTCCGCACTGCCGCGCGTGGTGTGGATTGAACACAGTGCACACCGCCAGCCTGTGCTGAGCCCAGGGGCGTGTGCGCAAGGTTCCCCGTGGCAGGCTGGAGTCGTGAAGTGGCCATTCTGTTGTCCAGGATAGCACATGGCCACGACCCCGTCTGTACATGTCACCTTGCGGAGGGAGCCAGACCGTGGCTACCACCTGCCTATTAAGGTGGGAACCCGGCTCGGAGAGACTGGGAGCCCAGGGCCAGGGAATAATGTGTCCTGGTGTCAAGTCTGGGGTCAGCTGCCTCCCGCAGCAGGTCTGGAGGAAGCTCTTCCTCATGACCTTGACTGCTATGACGCACCCTGGGGACGCCACGCCGGCTGCTCAAGTCTGGCATGCAACAGGTGTCCTTGTGGCCTCCAGTGCCAGAGTCTAGAATGTTCTGCCACTTATTCCTCGTGGGGCGTCCCTGGGCGCCATGGTCAGCTGACCCCACGCAGCCCGGCTACTCCGTGTAGATGACTGTCCTCGTGCCGGGCTCCGGAGCTGCCGCAGGGTTTCCTTACCCACACGTTTACCGCCCAAGC